CTCCACAACCAGTACGTAAAAACGAACTGCTAGGTTTCAGCAGGCAAAAAATAAGGAGGATAGTGGCCTTTTTAACAGGACACGCCCCCTGCAAAAAACACCTATTCAGGATGGGACTGAGCGATCAACTGACCTGCAGGGGTTGCGAATTAGAGGACGAAACTACTCTGCATGTTATGTGTCACTGCACGTCATTTGCAACAGGTAGACGAAGACTCCTGGGAGGGGATGAAATTCCACCAGACCAGATCATGCGAACTCCCCTCAAGACTCTTTTGGAATTCATTGAATATACAGGGATAATGAGAGGGTAAAAGTACGAGGGCACAATAGGACAGAAATGACCGCGGTGCGAGGCCAAACACCACCTCGGCGGTGAGGAAAGGGTTTTAGTGGGTAAACAGCTTAGCTGGAGTCCCACACACACCAGAGCGACAGACCACCAGCTCTGGGAGTGCATAAAAGAGCATTTCCCAAACCACACCGAAAAAAAAAAAAAAATGCAGATAAATGCTTTTCATAAGACTGAAAATTATTATATTTTTGTCAGTACTTAATGTTACATCTACATCGTAGTGGAAATAATTTAAGCTTTATTGCAAACAAATCGGTTCTAGTCCAAATAGAAAATTTGCAAATAATTATAGTTTATCGGGAAGATTGAGCAATTTTATATTTTCCCTCTAACTGATGGTAATTTTTGATATTGCCAAATAAAAGTGAAATTGCAACTATTGATAAAATTTGAACTTCAGCTGAAAAAGCTATGTTTTCAATTTCTTAATTTAGTGGGAATAATTCTGGCCCTTATTTCGCCTTGGATGGTTCATTTTCGAGAATTGGATTAAGAGACGTTTTTGCATGATTTGATATATTTTTTGTTGTATGTATTTTTAGTTGGTAAAAGGCAAAAAATATGAAAATTTTACGTCAGACCAATCGTGAATCGTGACTTAGGACTTTAAGGATTACGCGATGAATGTTCAATAAACAGACACATATAATGTGTATTCGAGATTCATATGAAGATTTTCAAAAATGGTATCAAATTTCAAAATATTCGGTAAACAAGCAAACAAAATATTTCATAAAAATATTAAAACTCGACATTCAAGGATCTGCTACGCTGTTATTTTTGAGATTTCGGAAAACTGCAATGGACCTTAATTTTCCATGTAGAGTTTAAGATACATTTTTTCATAAAGCTGCAGATAATGATGACTGAACGGCAGAAATGTGACAATTTTGAGTTCAACCTACAAATTGAGAAGTGTTAGTTTTAACTAGTCGCTATTCTGTCATCTCCAATTAATAACTGATTTGAAAATGTTTATTAAACTTACATTACTTTTGCGTAAATTTGTTGAACATTCTATAGTTAAAACTTCAAATAAGTACCTTTTCTCATAATTCATTGTAAATTTTAAAATACAATAGCACTAAATTAATAAATATAAATATAAATAATTACGAAACAAAAAACGGACAATTTGGAATATTAAAAAGTTGATCGGAAAGAAATATTACTTTACAGAAGGGTCTTCCAGATGCAGATTATGAAATAAAATGCGCTATTAAGTTTTAATAGGGTTAGGAATAGTTTTCTGCATCAAATAGTTATTTGAAAAATTGATGACAAATATCGCTCATTACACAAAAAATAATAATATTTTTGGCCATAAAATTCTTTTCTAAACATGTAACCCAAAATATTCTCAGTTGCCCATTACAGAAAAACCCGAGAATTATGACCTTTTCACGTTCAGAAATTGAAATAAAACAATAAAGGTCCAGTTATGACCAGTTTTATTACAGTTTTAATACCAAAAACATATATTCTTCGGGTATATAGCTCTGAATACTATTTCTTCAGATCTAAGGGCGTTAAGGGTTTAGGCTCTGGATCTCCATGAATTACTATCGCCCTTATTCACCGACTTTATGGTATTTTGATATTAAAATAAGACTTAGCCAAGCCGAGGCATAAAGGGGATTTAAACTTTATACTTCATTAAATATAAATGAGCAATAAAAGACACAGTAAAATGTGAAATTAGTTTCAATAAACTGAATCTATGCTGGATAAATATTAATCAAGAAGAAAGAAATGAAGCTTTTCCAGGTGAAAACTTGTTTGTTTATACTGAATGCAATCAGTAATTGTCAGGTACAATTATACTATAAAAATTTTACTTTGCACCGATAATTAAAAATTAGAAAAAATATGCAGATTCTCCTAGTTATTACCTAAACTATTTAGTGGTCATTAGTTGATCACTTAAGGTGAAAATCACTTCGTTAATTATTTAAATCATAGCTGGCAAGGTTTTTTTCACTCGACACATTCCAATCAATCACATCGACAAGTTCGCCGACGTTTTTTTTTGAATGTTGAACTGTTTATACTGATTTTTTATAGACTATATTGCATTGACCCAATTCATTAACAACCATTTTGTCTTGTTTGATCGTATCTTTAGTAATTTTGCTGCAAGCGATTTGCGCTTTTCTATGCATGGATTTCCTGGTCTCTTAACATTGTACAGCATAGTAAATCGATTTTCTGTCGCATTTTAACGGCAGATATTAACGTATTTTTTTCCGGGACTGTTGCAGAGTTTAATTTGTTATAGTTAATTTTAGGCAATGTGTGGTCTATTTTTTTAATAGATCAATAATGTCGTGGCACGTTTTTTTCAAATGGCTTATTTAAAAATTTTTTTTTGTTAATTGGCGCGAAAAAAGAGAAAGGCGGCTGCAGCATAATAGTTTGGTTAAATTAAAGTACAAAAAATAATAGAATGTTAAATTTGCAATATTTACTTTCCAATGTTTGATTTGTCGAAAAAAGTTGGATGTTATCCTTTTATCATTGGTTATTTACTAGTCTACTTACCTTGATGAGGTACCTACCTGATACGAAACAATACGAAAACATCTTCCATATTATTTCGAGCAAGTTGTGCAAAGAAACTTTTTACTTCGGAAGAAAATTACACTAAGCAGACATTGTATTTATTATTTATTGTTGAGGAGATTAACAACGAATAATAAATATCTCTCATTTGCTCCAGTGTTCCAATGCAAACAAGGAATCCAACAGATTGTGAATCCTTTATACAAGGTCTTAATGGTAGGGAAAAAACAGCATGATTTCCTGATAAAACTATAATTAATTCAAATAAATAAAATTACAATTATTGCACATGTCGACATTTGCGCTCACACAGAGACATTATGAAGTAAAATTAAATACTTAAGCTAACTTGTGTTTTAAACATTAATTAACAAACGTGCCACAGCATGGCTTTGATGTCCATTAAATAATTATTTACACGGCAGTGTTAAGCACCCTGATCATATTTACACGCAAAACGGGCAGTACCTATGAGATTCTTGGTATAGTTGAATTTGTTATGTATTTGGTTGCGATGGCTAGAAGTATCCGAAGTATCGTCCAGGACCCCCTAGAAAAACAACATAATGTTCACAACGTATGTTTTGCGTTAACCTATTTTGTTTCCATAAATGTTTTTAAACTCATCTCAATAAATACATGGGAAAAAATTGCATTTTCGACAAAAGTTTTTACGAACTACCTAGAGTTTTTTTCTATTTTGCAAATACATTTGATCCTTACTGTACATGTACTACGGTGTTTGGACACAATGCAGTTTTGGACGTTTTGCGGGTTTGTTTGCCTGCTTGCAAAAAATTCGAAATAAAGCTTTTTGCGATCTACTAGAGCCTAGAATTTAAATTCCCCACAATTTCACAGTTCTGTGTCTTATTAGTTTCATATGGTATATTAATTATTTGACTACCATGAACATTGTGAAATTTGCGAATTGTGGAAAAACGTTGTATGAAATCGAGAGATCATGTAATGCTGGCTAAAAAGAAAAAATGTGCTTGGCACACATATCAAAAAGTAAGTAATTTGAAGCATTTAAGGTCGTAGTATCACAATTAAAAAAGCAAAGTTAAAGCAAATTGATGTCCCCCTAAATTCAGACAAAAATCTATGGCTTCGTGCCTGATCCGTTGCGATCCTTAGCGAAATCTCAACAATTTTTCTATGGAACTCTATGTGAGATTAAGAGCGATCTCGCAATATAAAATCTCGCAATAATAGTGACTTCAATGGTGGATCAGTTGTTTCACATACCATATCGATAACCACAGACAAATTATGTAGGCGATCCTTGTGAAAGATCCATCTTTGTCAATAGGCAGCCAAACTTGTTTACTATAAACAGTGCAACATTTGCAATATTAAATCAGCATTCCTTTAATCTATTTAATTTAAGAAACTATGCTTGTCGCTCTTTGTGATAATCATTGATCGTTGTAACCTGAGATAAATGTATAATAATATTTGAATGTTTCAACAGCTGTTTAGGTAATCTAATCAATAAAACTTTAAATGGTAATTCTACGGCATTTTGTCGTTAAAGGCTATTCTTTTTTATTGAATTGTTTTGGTTTCTCAAACTTAAATGTACTCTTTCATATTTCTATACGGTGCTTTCCCAAAAGATTATCCGAAAACGAGTTTAGGAAAAATATGGTGAAAACTGCAAACGTATTTAAAATTTTAATTTAACTTGAATAAACAGCAAATGATTCCTTGAACTTGAACTTGTTGAAATTGAAAAATGTCGTTGACTTTAGATTATAGTAAGATGCATCATTTGACGCTGGTTAATTTTCAACTGTATCGATAGTGTAATTTTATATTATTTACTTCCAATAAAACATTAACAAAACTCACATTTAACAATTTGGTAAACATGCTCTTTGACTTGTTTAAATGAACAAAACATGTTAGGCATTGGAAGTAACACACGAAATAGACTATAAAATCAAAAGAACATGTTGAAATAATGCGAGTTCATCATAAATACTTAGACCAACTCAATTCTTTTATTTTGAAACAGAATAACGTTTTTGTTTTGGGCATCGCTGTTCATGCTTCAGAAAATGTTCTCTTTACGTTTGTTAATGTTATTTTCGGTAGCAAAAGTGTTCTAAAAAATGTATTCCTAAATGTTTTTTTGTGAAGGTATGGTACTTTGTAAGTGAAGCAATCTTTGTGTTCGTCTTTCTGCCTATTTCATGGCAATTTCAAATTAATGAAAAAAAAGGAACCCACGTTTATCATAAATATAATGTCGTCCTTGATTATAGCTCGATACTTATATCCTTTTCGGGTCAATTAAGTTAAACTTGAGTACTAAATGCCGACAAAACTATTCATGTTAAAGCATTGCAGCCTTGGCAGTCATAAGACAATAATTGGTATTTTTTAAGCAAGAATGCGGAATTTACGAATCACCCCAAGTCACGTTCTTGTGATGAATCTGGCTTTGCCAACCTTAGTGTTATTTGATAGTTCAATAACGAGGTCGAGTTCTTGCGTAAAAAATCCTAACTAATCGAGTTGTTGTAGTTCGGTTTCAGCAAAAACTCGTATGTAGTAAATGGTTTGCGTGAGACTTCCTTATTAGACAAATGAAATAAATTAAACGCTCATAAAAAGCTTTATTTATCAGTCGAATGCCAATTGTTCATGTGTGTGAGATCATATTTGTTTAAATCCTCTCACTTGTTGCATAATTGTAACATTTTCAGAAAAATGAACGTGTGTGAGAAATTGCTTGATTCACCCAAACATGACCTCATAATTAGAAACCGAAGAAATAGACAATTAATAACATAAAAAGTTATATTGAGCTAAATACAATCACGGGAAAAAATCACGAAGAATTCCTAATTTCCAATCTTTTGTTTACATCAAACTGAACATCGATTGAACGTATTGAAACGTTCGAAGTTCGTTTGAAAAATTACTTCACATAAGCAACCCATTGAATAGTTCATTTATCAAAACGTAGCTGTAATTAAAAACTTATTAAATGCTGCCTGAATAGCAATATACTTATAATGAACCAGGACAGATTATTTAATAAGATCGCTTCAGGGGTAAAATTCCCATAAAACTTAAATTAAACCAGTTTGAAAGGTAGCTAAATTTCAATCGAAGAAGAAAGCGAAAACCATATTATGGCGCGGGTTAAATTGAAAACTCTTATTTGGGTGGTCAGCTTCCCACATAAGAGTTAAGCGAATATAGGATTTCTTACAATCGCAGATTTGGCTTAAACTTTTCTAATGCTTTAGTTTTAGTGATTACCTACGTAAAGTTGAAAGTTCGTAGGGAAAAAATGCAGATTTGGCTAATTCAAGTACCTTTGAAGAGCGAATACTGTCTAAAAATCATCCATATGATTCATGTGGAAAAAATTATCTTTCAGCATTCTAATGATATATATTGCATTCAATTGTTTAAAGTTGATAGGTACTTAACCGGCTTAATTGTAATGTATTTACCGCCAATAAAAACATTATATATTAATTAAAAGCCTCATATCCGCAAAACCTCTTGCCAATTCAAATTCTATGAAGGTTAATGACATTATCTGGTTTATAAAGGAAAAACTCTTGTCCTTGGACTAATTGTTATTAACCATTATAACAGGGATTAAAAACGTTGGAACTTCACTAGAATTATTCCTAACTAAAATAAAAATATGTTAGTTGAAAAGTAGCTAGTAATTAACGAAGGCATTCAATTTGCAAAAGTAATGTCAAGACCAAGGTGTGCAAAAATCCAGTTTGCTGAAAAACCAACAGGAAACGAAAATGTAGATCGTTTTGTAACTGCTGAAATATGATCGATTATGCTGTCACCGGAGGTATAATTTATTATTTAACTCGGTTAAATGGCAGTACTTTGTTTGCTTTGAACAGTAAGTACTGTTAATGATCATTTACTGTGGCCGGAACCGATTTGCTTCAGTACTAAGGTGGATTTTTTTTGTCGGCACCCTGACCTTAATGTATTGATTGTAATTTAAACAAAGAGGGATTTTCCGGGAGCCATTATGTTTGTAAGATACAGTTGTAATATGAATGAGTCAGGAAAGTCTTAGAAAATAGACAACAATTCATCGTGAAAGAGAGATAAAAGCCCATTTCATTGATTTTGACCTGCTGAGCTACGACCAACTTTTAACCAATATACGTAAGTATATTTTAATGTTCAAGTTATTATTAAATTTTTCGTCTATATCTCTGGAAAGTAGCATACATGCGTGACGCTGCTTCAAAAAGTTCTTACTGAATACTCGGATATTTTTCACTGATTCCAAAATATAAACAAAACTGTTTCCTTAGGAAATTGATAAAATGTGGTTTTTAACGTTTATTTTTCATTCTTTTAAATGTTAGAAGGGTACATTTAAATCTAATAAACGAAATATGTTTTTAGGACTGAATTGAAAAGAAAAGGCCCTAATTTGTATTTAGATAATAGAAACCGTTTCTGAGAAATTATTCAATTTAGCGTTTGTCTCTAAAAGTTATGAGTTTAAAATTAAACATAATAATTAAGAAATGTAAGTGTATTTAGAATTCCGAATCCATTGTTAAAAGGATTACACTTAAATGTTGGTAATCACCAAAAGTGTAATAGTTCGCCTAAAATCAGCAGACGTAGCCAATGTGATGAAACTCACAACACTGCTTGAAGAATTTATTTGCTTTTCAGAGGTGTAGCAAGCGTATTTCTAGCTGGACCAAATTTGGAAAAACAAATTATTGAAAATCCGGTTCGCAAGCAGTGTTGACCAGAGAGACTTGAGACAAAAAAATTGTAAAAATCTAAGCAGATTTTGGCAGAGTTGTAAAAATCTAAGCAGAAGTGGTATTTTAACCTAATTTTGTATAATAAGGAATATTTGCTCTTTTCACTAGAGTAACAGATGTATTTTTAAACAATTTGATTTTTCGAAAATACATTGGCAAGGGATTATTCTAAGAAATTCAAAAGAGCCAAATTAATTTTGCCAAAAGTTAACCAAAGCAGCCAATAGAGCAAAAACGTCTGCACTCATAGAACAAAGTGCAGACTTGTTAGTACCGTAAAAAACATCTGCAAGGTTGGACTGGTCATTGGACTGAATCATCTAATTGAAAGAATATCCACCCTTGCCTAAATTACTATCTTCTAAGCGAAAAAACTATCGGGGCTACTCAGATGTTTTAAACCGTTTCAACTATATAGACCCTTACATTTTAGCTTCTTACAACTGCCTTACATCTTGAGAAAATTTCTTGTATCTATTTCACACACGGACATTTAATTCGGAACCTAATTCTCGATTGATGATGAAACACAATTAATAAAGGAATAGTTCTACAGTTCTAAGTTCGTTTGAAAAAGTTTGGGCCTTTCCCCGATTTTGAATCTACCATTTTAGAAGTTAATAATATTTAACTAACCAAAATAAAATGTTTTGATACTGCTGGTTCCGAAGAGGTAAAGTAAAGTCTCGTATTCAGAAAATCTTTGGAGAAATGGGTCATTAAAGGCGTTATCAAATCTACGATAACCGCGATATTTCCAATTTGAGCTCAATTAGACCTAAATAGGTTATTGCCATTTAGATCACAAAACTCTGGACCAACAGAACGGGTAAGTTTAAAAAAAAACTGCTCTATAGTCCCAAGTTTCCTTTTCGAGGAATAAAGTTTTGAAATGTTCGAGTTTGGGGCCTGAAAATCTAGCTCTTATTTGAATAACGCCAGGATGGAAACTCAATAATTGTGTACAGTTTCAACGCAATTCATTTAAAATTGGACGCAATTTTTTGCGTTAGCAAGTCGGTTGTTTTGGATTCTGAGCTTTTAAGCAGATATTAGTAGAGTCTCCTATTCTCTGTTTTGAGTCCATTTCATTGGCATTGATAAAAGAAATAAAAAAATGTGTTTTTTTCTACTCGAAAACCGATCATTCTAAACTCTTTCGATCATTCGAAATTCTTCTCGAAAACCGATATCTAATGGATCGATTTTCAAGACCACATGTTTTTAACACTTACAATAAGTTGATAAACTGACGATTAAGAAACTCCAATTCTTGTGACCGATATCGGTTGAACCTTGGAAAAAAATCCGGCACCTGTTTACTAGACCGGATATTTTGTAAAATTGTTATTTAAATTACTGGTTTCACCCCAATTCAGATAAAAATATGCTTACCTTTTGCAGTCAAAAGCACCTAAACATCTAAATAAGGTTTTTTATTGCCCTAGAGCCTGAAATAAAAATCAGTCGAATCAGTCAAAAACACAAAAGAAACATGACCAAGCCCAACTACATGAAAAATGTTTTGTTATTATGTTGCACTAGTCCTTTTAGCTAAATGATCCATTTCCGTTGAAATATGAAAGACCAATGAAGTAAAAAATCGTATGACTAAAAAATCAGTTGTCCTGTACCTTCAATTATAAATGAAAAACCTGGTTAAATCATGCAATTAACCTTTTTTGCATGTGTGCTTATCTTGTATATCATACATGCAAAGGTTCTAATGTACAATTGTTTATCTTGAAAATTGTATTTTCGTCAGATTCTTTAATTTACAATGGGCATTTTAATCATCCAAAGTCAGCTTCCAACCCTGAATCAGGCCTATAGAACATGTTCTCGAAGACACGAAGACAATTCTTAACCGCTCTTTCCACTATTCGGGACCCTTTGTCTTTATCTGATATCCTGAGTGACCGCCTCAATATAATACATGTCTTGACTTGTTTAAATTCCAGTTTGGTTGTGTGCGATAAATTTTCGGCGGTTTACAGTGGGAAATATCACAATTTGCCTGGCAAACACGAGCATGTTCCAGGGGCAAATTGAATTGAGCTTTGAAAACTGTTTTCTTTAACGAAATCTTTCTTATATCTTCCTACAGAGAATAAATTAAAATTTGGCAATAAATTTCAAAAAATGTGTTTAATCTTTGATGCATTTACAATTGATGCGCAAATCTCTATGGCACTATTATTCAGTTCGGCTGATGATTCCCTAATTGCTCAATGAACAACAAAAACGGAATTTGAAACAGAAAATATCAAAACACTTAATAATATGTATGCATAACTGATTTGATTAACCAAATATTCTTTCGTAGAGACACAAATCTATTACTGTTACAGTTCCTACTTTGAACCAATAATAAGTAAACATCTAACAGGTTTTGGATAAACCCCACTGTCCAGCAAACCTCCGATATCGGTTCATTGTTTTTCAGCAGATTAATTGAAAATTCGGAGATTGTAACAGGCAAAGGACAATATCTAATTGGGTCTTGGAAATGAGTTATTCAAGCGCAGTTCCTGGAGTTCTCGTCTATTGTAATCGAGTTGTCCCCAGGGATGCAAAGTTTCGCCCTGATCTCCTTAGCTTTAATTATATTACTTACATGCAAGAAGGATGAGGCAACAAGTCATAATAGACGAAACTATCCATCAAAATAATGAAATCTGAAGGGATGATTAAGGGAATTGTATAACTAACAATGTACAAGTGAGAGAAATACACTGCTAAGGCACAGATATTTATGAAATACAAATATTCGATTTTAGACTGGGTCTGTACAGTCAACTTTCTTGTAAAAATATTAAGAATATCGTCCCAATCGATTCTAATTGAGAATTAAGTCATCATAAACTGTTTCGGAATAGACAAAAGAAGCAGGATTATGTTAATAACTATATGAATGAAAACATTACTATCATGATTTGGCTTTGAGCCACTTTACATTGATTGGAATAATTTTGTTTCTAAAACAATAAAAACAGCATAGCAAACTAATGAGAACAAGGCAACGAAAGAAATTAATAATATTTTGTTAAAAAAACTCGAAAAAAGCAAAGTAAATATAATCTGATCTCTTTATACAAAATCTGCAATAACTAATTGGTTTCGATTACTTAGAGATATTTTAAATTAGTTCCACACAATACAACATCACTGTAACCGAATTACACTTTTTGTAGTGCCATTATGTATCTATCTCTAAGCTATTGAAAATAAAACCTAATGGATTTTTAGGTTTTTGTCTAAAATTGCAGACAACTTCCTTTACTTACTTACAAGCCATTCGACATGTGAAAATGCCGAAACGCTTTTTCTGATAAACCATTACTTGTATTCCGCTCGTAAAATTGCCATAACGTAAGTTTTTGTGGAGACCGAATATCGCAAGTTTCTGCATGATCGACCGCTTCATTAATAAACCTTTTCATATACACATGAAGTGAGCATTCACTTGAAGGCTGTATACACATACTTTGAACGACTCACTTTGAAATATCGAAGAATCAGCTAAGAACATGAAAAATGAGAAGTAATAAATTATTTTAATGTTATGTTGCAACTGAAAATGATTGAATTGATTTTATTAGATTTTATCAGATTTCAGCCTCAACAAATGATGAAACAGAAATGGAAATTGGTTATGACGATAAAACAGCAGGGAAGGAAAAGATCGTTATTTAGAAGAAAAACCTTTGGAAACAGTATTTCAGAAATGAGTATTTATTGAGATTTCTAGAAAATTATGAGATCCAATTCCAGCCTCAAGCAGGTGAAAGCAATTCAGAAATGACTAAAGCCCGCATGTAGGGGATCAAATTCAGAGAAATTTAAGTGAACAATCTGCATTAATATGCAGATATGACATAAATTAAACAGCAGGAAGTCCTTCTGAAAAAGTCTGCTTTAAAACAAAATCCATTGATTCCTACAGTCAGCAGAGAAAAGTTAATGCTTCTTGTAGATAGTTATTTTAAAATAAATCATCTTCCACATTGTATGCAGGAAATCGTCAAAATATATAAGTAAATTCCCGGTTAAACACCGTGTAAATATCACGGACATGTTCATTGAATAATTTGTTCTTCACTGCAGATTATCGAAATTCAATTGAAGTTATACCAAGAATCTCCTTACAAAAAATGAATTTAACGGTAGTTTACAACCGCGAACAGTTTTATTTGATCGCTTAATTGCTCACTTGTTAAAACGGATTTAACGCCTTGCTAAACATGAATAAATAAAGCGGTGTCTATACACCGTATTCCCTGTTAAGGCATTCGCCAAATATGTGCTGATTATCTAAGGTTATTAATTTGAAATGTATGTTTACTGATTATCGGAGACTTAGGTGTGAAAAAGATGCCAAATCAAAGGCCATCAGAGGTCAATGAATGTCGCAACTAATTAAAAAATTACTAACATTTTTCCTTTCTCTTTTCTCTAATCATTCAATAATTCATGCGATCCTCTAGACTCGCGTAATTACCGTACACAAATCGTTCAAAATCGCAAATAATTGAAACAAAGTGAAATTAGCTGAAATAGAATAATCTAAGTTGATGCTTTGTTACAGCAACTACATGCAGCTGATGTTCCATACCAGATGGCGAGAATTTTAATTATGAACTACGATAATTAGAAACTACCTGAAATTCTCTTGATATGATTTATAGCTTAGATGTGAGTCATGACTTCGAAAGGGCAAAGTATAAACTGGCTTTCTGTTGCTGAGAACTATTTTAATCCTTACTATAGACTGCAATAGTCATTATTAAGTTCATTTATTTCAAAAGCCAGCTTTTTAAATATTAATAGTGTATTATTCCAAAACCGGCGATTTTTGCTTAAACTGTTCCAAACCCATGTGAAACATTCGATGTCTAGTTCTAAAGATGTATTTTTTGATAATCATTAAAGTTCTGTTGAATATTTACGTGATTATTAACTGATTATTATTTATCACGTAACTAATAATCATTGCATGAAATCACTGCACATTTTTTCACTGCATTATTTTTCGTTTTAATCAGAATCCATCGCAAGCTTTTGCAAAAAGCACAATATTCAACTACTATAATTGTGCCCTGTACTTGTATTGATGTCATCCCAAAAAAAATATGAAAGACCATAAATTGATTTTTAAGGTTTATTGTGGAGTGTAGCATAAAAATAAGTGGTTTAAATAATTGGCAAATTTTATTTTAAATACTTTACCTATATTGTATTCTATTCTAAATTCATCACACTGGAAAATTTTTGCTTTCAAATATCAGAAGACAAAATACAAGATTTAAAGCCGATTTTAAATTTGGCAATGTTTTAATGCTAGAAACTGATTTATCCTTGACAGAGTGTTAGCCAAATGAATAGAAAAACGAATTAGCATTGTTTTGCCTAATTGCTGTTTTACGCCTTTGTTTAATTTAATCACTTCAGATTTTAATTAACTTTTATTCCTTTCGTTATCCTACATTTTAATCAAACAATTCATCACAACTTCTATTGGAACTACCTTTCACGTAAACTAAGAAAAACTACAGAAATAACATTATATTTACAATATTAGATATGTAATAAAGAAAAGAGAAAGTGTTTAACTTTAAGTTTATAAAATCTCTATATTAAAAAAGTCTCTTTCGAGCGGCCAGTAAAGCAAACTAAAATATTCATGCAAGAGAAACCTTTTTAGCCACTTCTTGTATTTATTTTGGAAAATATACTTGAAGAACTACCAAATGTTTTCTTTTGTCGTTTCAATTAACTCCACACCTCAAGTTCAGAAATTAATTTTAGTATAAGAAAGTAAAAATCCAACAGTTTCAATGATTATCATCAGTTACACTTTCACTAACGATTCATGCGGTTATCGCATCTAATGATGAGACTTACTGGGGCTATTTGGAGGTACGAATCCATATCCAGAAGCACCAACAACTACCCCACTGGTTTCGCCGTTATCTGGAGGAGCCACTGGAAATACCACCGGTCCAGTATTTTCTCTTGGGTCTCTTGCCCTGGTTAGGCGGCTATCGAGTCCGAAACTTCCATAAGAACTGAAGTCGTAGCCAAAGCCTCCAAACTGTGCTCTAACCACAGCTGCGAGACAGGCTATGCAAACGGTAATGAATGTCTGAAAGCACAGTGAAAAATTCCTAATTAATTTGTATTCCATGTTTTAAATATCTCAGTGATCCTATTCAGCAATAAACTTTTTTAAATTTTCATTTGCGAATTATTTAATTAGCTTATAGCATCGAGTGAGCCCTCAAAGCATACATAAATTGCATTCATCCAAAATTAAACTAATAATTATTCAATTTTGATCAATGGGGTTGGTGCAGCAAACTGAATCAGGCCTGCATAATGCAACTTAATAGTTTCTGCTCATTAAACCGTGTAAAATACATGCGAGATAATACGTGAAAATACACGGTATATTCGTTATCACGGTTAATTCTTTGGCATTATTAAAGTGAAAGCCTTTAAAAAGCAATTTCGTTCCATCACGTGAATGAACATTTCATTAAATGTTGGTTTTCCAATGCATATTATGTATTGTGCTATAGAAAATTGCACGAATTAATTAGGATTTGCCTTAAAGTGCATTTTAATCCGAAATTGTATCCGGTTAATTAAACGAGGACGGATAATGAAGTAATCTGGTCGAGTGATTAAAGTGAACGTCAATCACTACTTATACAATCTGGACACTTTCCAACACATTTTCATATTGTGAGCCTTTAGGTTCAAACTAAAGATCAGATGAAATGAGGAAAATCGGAAGTTCAGATTACAGAAACAGTTCAAGATTACTCCGAAAACCTTTAAAATTTTTAATATAATTTGAATCTGAATTAAGATCAGACGAAATACTCATTTTAAACTTGGATTCCCTCACTACCGCTTTGAAACACTTGAAAAGGCAACTGCAAGGTTAGAAATGCAAAGTTGAAACACAAATAGTAATGACGGACAAGAATGTTTAAAGCTGGGCAGAAACTCAAAAGGTCGTTGAGTATGATAAGATAGTAATTCTGGAGTAGAAAAGAGCAAAACTGAACGGAAAACTGGTAAGAACAATTCTGTTCCTTCGCCGAATTGTTCTTTGTGAAAAGCGTATGAGCCTTCAGTTTAATATCTCAAAATGTTAAGCCGATTTGGACATACGAACGAAACTTAGTTTATATTCAAACTGCAACTATGTATGAAAAAAAATGTATAGAACAATTTATATGTAGATTTGCAGCGGTTTGCACGGACGTTTTTAGTATATGCAGCAACAAATCAAGCTCAACGGTGAAGAAGGGTTTTAAACTCGCTTTTTTACATCTCGAGTCATTAAGTAATAGAAAATACATATACTGGTAGCAAAAATTCTCTATGATCTGCAAATTGTATACATTAGTATGACATGTTGGCGATAAATGATCAGTTAGTTGCATACAAAGCGTTGAATTGCAGAATGTGTGTAGAAAACGTCAGCCAAATCTCGTAAAAGAATCATGATTTCCAAAGAATTTGCGTATTTACTCAAGATTAAATTTGGAAAAACCCTTCCTAAACCAACTTTCACTCCCATGGTGGCAATAAAATTTGAAGATAGTGCCAGACACTGAAAGTTTATTTCGGATTCAATTTATTTGGTTACAGTTTAAGCTAAACAAATACTTAGAAAAGTATTGAAAATATTGCATTAAACTAATAAAATATAACATTGAAGGGAAATAATGAATTTTCTAACAATTACTTTACAGCTAGAGCAACAATTAGACTGAACAATTTCCCATTGAAAGGCAACAGTATCAAAAAACAACAAATATCGAAAAAAATACTTAAATTTCTGCATGTGGCGCCTTCTGAGCCTTTCACATGTGCTTATCTCATTAAAGCAATCAAGCACACCCAAGTCTACAGACTGTTTAATACACCTTGCCAACCTATCAAAACTTGTGAAAAATCGACATTATTCTTTAGTCAAACCTTGCAGTTAATCAAACGTTCCAAACATATTAGTATCTGCCAAGTAATAATTGTGCATAAACCAATTTATTAAAAATCTGTTATTGAAATAACTGGCTCGTGTAGCCGATATAAATCATATAAAGTTGATAGTCAAGTGGGTTAGAGTTCGGGATAACAATAAATAATATAGATTATTGAATAAATAAATTGATTATACGCATGCTAATGGGTTTCCGGCTGCAGCGACTAATTGATTTACGGCCCAACTTTCATTGAGGCCTTATCAGCATCAGATGAGCGGAAAAAATGTTCGTCCAAAATCGTCATAAAATATTTATATTGCTAATTGGCTGTCAAATCGCAGATTTTTGCAAATCCTACCTGTATATAAAGCCGGCCATGAAACAGTGCAAAAACAAATAAATTTCATGTTCACGCACCTTTTTCGTTTTTAGCAAGCTTAGATAAAAGTTACTGAATCCATCGAGCAGAACGGCATTGTTCTTTTCAGGATTGAGGCCGCTAATTTGAATGCGTATTTAAAGTACGAAAACTATGTAAATCGAATCGAATTGTTTCACAACAGTTAATATGCAAATAAGTAAATTGCAAGTTATTTGTATTCGATCGCCCCGCACACTAGTTATTAGGTTATTACTAGGATAGTTAGTGCTGGATAAATGCGAGATGACTAGCTGATGTGGAAAACATGCTGCGCAACAGATTAGACAAATTAAAATTGAAAAATTTTAAACACCTAACTGTTCTATGGATAACAGAACCAATAAAGACAAAGCAAACAAAATTAAAATGAGCGCTGTTGAACCAACAATAAATTTCCAGTCAATTTACACCACAATTACATAATAAGCATTAATCAAACGTTGTGAGTAAATCGACACTTTCATCAAGCCAAACTCTAGCCTTTCGGAAAAATAGACAGCATTCTATAAAAGCAATCGAAACTGACAGGTTTAATGTGTGGGCAGTTGGCAGTCAAGTCGAGAACGTATTCTGTTGTAACAATAAACGGCAAAATGCCTGGGATTTCGTGAGTTTCACGGTCTAATTCTCTCCAGCAACATTCATCAATTTGAAAAAAGTCCGCATAATTGCTGGACCCCAAGAACAGTACGCGCGAGGGCGGTTAAGCAATGTCGATTATTTTACTGATAACATAGTTTACTAATCAATTAAATTAGAATTCTATTCGAATGAACGAATCTTCACCCAGTCTGTCTTTATATGGGACCGATTTGCGTCAGCAATAAATAGTGCTGTTTCCACTAGTGGCAGCTTTAAACTTCGCTACCAAAAAACCGTCGGAATTAAACAACAAACCAAGAGAAAGGGAGAAAGGATGTTTAGAACGGTGGTGCCTGGAATAAAATTAAACAGTAGACTGCGTAATTTAAAGATTTGAATGGCAGTTTATGCGATTAGAGAAAAATGTTAGGCAACAATGGCTATAACCGATAAAAAAACAGCCTTAACTCAGGTGCTATTAAAATGCTTTGTCAATTTATTCAAATAAATCAAGAGGAAGAAAAATTAAATATTTTATGTCCATGAGTCCATCCAGTAATGAATGAAGTCTAGTCTTGGTCTTGGGCATGTAAAAAAGCAAGATCAAGACTGGGTTGCAAGAACAAGACCAATGCTAATACCTGCGAGACCAGGAGTTTTGCAAGAGATTTTCGAGATTCTCGTGATTATAATGTAACATTTTTAATTTGGGGGAATGTGAAACAGTAGATCAAACAAAAAATTGAAGGACGCTGGAATTTTGAAGCCTATAAGATCAGGTGATATAACTAATAAATTGGGTTGTTTTACAGACAAATAAATAGCAACAAATTCGAAGAAACTAAATTAAGATCCATGTCAGAAATACAGCAACCGTTATTAATCTGAAAAGAAACAGGCGGCTAGTTCCTTTCGAATCCTAAACATTCCAATTTTTCGTGCACAGAAAAGGCAATTCGATTAAACCAACCAATTTTACTATGCAAGAGTATGCTAATGTGACAAAATTGTGGGCAAAAGAACCCACTGATTGTAACAGAAACGAGCACAGAATAATTCTATTTGAAAGCAAACTTAGAAGAAAATCCTTAACAGGAAAGCAAAAAATTTCAAGATCAAAATTAGTTTTTAGTTGCTGAGCAAGCTGCAAGTTGCTTGCAAGAATATTTCTTGGTGCAGGAGAGCCTAATGAAGAATAAAAATAACTGGTTTTCCTGGTCCAAAAAAATATATTAGTTTTTGTCATAACGATCATGGATATGTGAGTTTTGGAACGAAAAATGGTTTCGCTTTTAATGCTTACTATTTCCCATCGAATAAACCAAATTTAGTGGATTAATAATAATCAGAGGGGAACAAAGCGCCAAAAGTACAGAAAACAAAAATAAAAAGAAAAATTGTTTATTTATATTAATTTTATAAGTTTTATTTAAAACTTCAAGTTTAAAGCAATTTTTAGGTGATTTGTTATATTTGGCGCATAGTCCCATTAGGATTCAAATGATCCATGATTGAAACAAATAATTGACTTAAACTTTCGTTTTGGAAAAAGAGTATTATTTGCTGTTATTGAAAATGGACATAAGTTCTCAAATGTAAATTTAAAAACGATAAAGTTGCTATTATTACTGACTGAAACTTTCATTCTTCATAAATATATATTCAACAGCACAATCACTGGCTCGCGCAAACAATACTTGTTTGATCGACATTCTCCTTGAATGTACCGAACTGTGCAGGTAATTTAAGTTCCAAACAAATTGTCAATTCGCTTTTTCCAAAATTTCTCTTATTAAACTGTTCAAATTACAACATACCACTTTGAAGTCGTCCTATCAACCAAATAGTGTTAGTTTTAAAATCACTCGAAAAAGGGGAAAAACATATATAAACTAATGAGAAAAATAATTCATTTTATATTGATATGATGATGCTACTGGAAAACGCGTTCAAAGAAAAACCAAAATAGAATAAACGTGTTTTAGTTAGACAGCTATTTCCGTTTGAAAACATCTAGAAAACGCAATAATTAAAACAAAAATTAGTTAAAATGCCTGAAAATATGTAAACGTAATCCAAAAGAGCTTTCACGGCATCTCATGCAAAAACAGGTAATCCACATTGGCTTTACCTTTTTTTACT